ACAGCGTGTTCTTTACGCTGGGCAACAAACAGGAGGGAAGAGCAGAAAGCCTTGAGCTTGTCTCAGGAGATCTCAGATTATGAGAATTTTCAACCATTTGACATTTGTTACCTAGTAGATTTAAAAGATGGAAAGGGAACAGATTAAATCTCTCAAAGGGAGCAGCATAGATCATAGAGCAACAGCATCCTAAAGGTGCAGAAGGAATTATATTCGTCATATTAATCATTTTAGTGAAGGCTTCTTTTTGAGATTGAGGAGTGAAAAAAATTGCCACACACATACAAAATGGCAAATCTGAAGTTTGCTTCTCTTGATAAAGGAGCCTGCAGTCCTATAGTCATAGAAATAGTTCCCAAGAGAGGGACAGTTCCTTCAGCAACTCCATCCTAAAACAACAGCCTCTTTGGAGAAAACAAGAAGAACCCATACCAAATACTGAGATAGAGAAGAATGAACACCACGTGGCAAATGCACTGTAGAGGAAAATAAAAATTCAGTTTTGCTGAAGAATTATCTACGATGAGGAAAATTTTTGGAGGAATTTGTCACATTTCATTTGTGTGACCCAAGGTGAGCTGATTGCAACTCAACAGAGAAGATGATCACTTTATAAAAAGTATGCATCAGCATTTTGCAGTAAGTCTTTCAAGCAACTAAACAAATCAGAGTTCCAGCTAGGTCTAGTCTTTTTTTTTTTAAACTGTAAAACTTTTAACGAGATTAGAATGCTAAGCAATGGTGGTGACTACCGGCATGAGGGTGCTGGGGCACAGCACTGAAAAATGCTGTGACCAAAAAATGATTGTATTTATTTTCTAGAGTCCTAAATTTGTGATTAGTGACTATCAGAAGGCTGCCTGTTTGTTTAACAGGTATAAAATAAATCAGTTTTAAGTCAGAGATGAGAAAAAGAGTTGCAGTATGTTTCAAGTAGAAGTTTGCTGATTCATCAAGCCTGATATTTAATTTAATAATATTACAAATTATTTAAGACAAAACATACCCAAACCAATCTTTTTTACTTTCAAGAAGCTTTCACTTTTATCTTGTTTAAATGTCTTTGTAGATTATAGCTGAAAATGGTTACATTGTATTTTAAAATGTGAACACTTGGAAGCATTGCTTCTGAAGCTGGTTCTTTTTTTAATTTTTAACATTCTATTTCTGAATGAAAACACAAGATGCACAGAATATATATGTGCACGTATTATGCACGGGCATATTTTTACATATTGTGTGCATAAAATACACACTGTTTACAGTGTGTACATACTGGAAAAGTATGGCAGAAATTTTCACAAAACTAAAATTTTACATTTTAAGCTTCCCCACTTATACAGTACGTCTTGCACCAAAGTTGTTTGTGCAAAACACTAGGTGTCATCAGTGTTTCCTATGACACAGCTCAGATCAAAAACTCCCATGGCGAGTTTGTCAATGGAATAAATAAAACAATCAACACTTCAGCAAATATAGGACAGACCACATAGGGATTCATTTTTCTTTAGCAAGCACTGAAAATCCGGTTTGCATTGCTTTACTTTCAAATCTCCTTTCACATTTTAAGCAGCAAAGGATTTACATTTACTGGCTTTAGAAGAGGCGCTTTTTGGAAGCCTGCAGCTAGAAAACGCTGGATGTGTTCTTGCTGGTGCCAAAATTTTCCAAGCTCTTGTTGCAGAGAAGATGCTCAACAGCTTGGGCAGCGGGACCCTTGCTCTGTACTCCTTCTAAGATGATGTCAGCATTGGGGCTGGCAGCTTGCGTGTTTTTATCTGGCTTGCATCCCAGGCTCCTATTTTGGCTATGCCTGGGCTGGGCTCGGGTGAACAGAGAACAAATGCTCACTGTACGCTCCCCGGGGCACCCCCTGCAGCCTGCGCACCCGCCGGGACGGGCAGTGGGGATAAGGGCACTCTGTGACATCTCACGCCGCATGCTCTCCCAGCGCACAGCTATTAAGAGGAGCGGTCCCCTCCTTTTGTTCTCTCTTGACAGTATGTCAGATCTTGTTCAAACTGAATTCAATGGCAGAGGGAGCAATTGCAAGGGAGCATAATCAAGTCTGACTGTATTTTAGTGGGTTTGGGGGGTTTTTGGTTGTTGGGTTTTTTTTGCCCGAGATAGCTTTGGTCATACTGAAGAGTATTTTACTGCACTTGCAATCTCAGGGACATTTCCCATCATCAAACCAGGAGAAAAGAATCTAGACATCGGCAACAACAGTTATGAGGTCCCTTCTTCCTCTATCCGCTAAACCTCTGTTCTGATCATACTGACTTTTCATGGTCAGACACTCTGTTTTCTAGGGGTATTTCTAGCAAAATCTGGATAACAAGAAAGCAGAATTCTGAGGACAGGACAAACACATGGTCAAGAACATCACTGAGGTAAACCACTGCAAAAGCTGACTCAGGGGTCCATAGGATGTATGTCAACACTTTGGGAGATTATATTAATTTCTTACCTGCATGAGTTGCTGCTTCAGTTTCTGTATTTCTGATATGTTGAGCTCACTGAAGAGGTCAGAAACAGGGTGCAGAGATTCTCCTTTCCTAACCGTGGGAGTTCGATAGTCACCGTTGAGTTTCACTAGAGGCCCATGGATATGTCCGTTCATTTTGTCGTCATTGTTGGGCTCACCCCCATCCTCTGCAAACTTCAATCCATCTACTGATATATTAATATGGTTATTATACATACTATCATTGAGGTTGATATACTGGGAGAGTTCTTTCCTCAGATTGTTCTTTTGCTCCCTTTCATTTTTTAAAGTTTCCAGGGCTTCCTCCAGCTGATGCTCAGCAATCTCCTTCAGCCGGATGGCATCTTCTAGCTGGCTATTAAGCAACACTGTCTCCTCCTCAAATCGTTTAATCTCATGCTTTAAGCCTTCATATTCAACCTGAATTAGACAAGACAGAGAACATTCATAATACTAAAACTTGAGTCATGAAAACCTGCCATTTATCAGCCTTATTGAATTAGGTGATACAGAAACTACAGCTGGAAACACCAGATGTTGCCTTCAGCTGCAAAGAACCAGCTGCACAGAAAACCCATGTGGAGCTTGCTCTGTTAAATACTTCACTGCTTCCTTTTTCAGCATGTGAAAATCAAGAAATACAACATCTTTTTTCTGAGTCACTTACGAGGATAAACAACGTATTTCATGGAAAGAAGGCTGTTTAGTAGCAGATGTCCTGGTAGATTTTTTATTAGTTGCCATAAGCAATGTTGGTATATTATGATACATATAGATCTCAGGTTGCAAGTATTGCCAATATTCTGAAAGTGACCTCCTGTCTAATTTCTTACTGAATGTAAAGTCACCCAGGCACAGATGCTCACAAGTATCTCAGTCTTGTAGTAGTTTTAAAAAATGTGGATGGAAGGTACAAAAACAGTAGAAGAGCCTCAAATCTTTTCTGTGTGTCATACAAGACTCCATTATTCAAAAAGCATTTAATTTTAGAAATAAACCAGCAAACTGTTCATAAAATCAGTTCAAACTCCAACATGCCCCAAATTGTTAGAGATCTGTAAACTACCAGATGAATGTATAAAACAGCTTGTCCAGCGACACAACCCTTGAACCTCGTGTCGGGGATGCTGTTTTGGAGCACTGCTGCTCCAACAGCGCTGCCTGAAGCATGTCCCCCAGTGACCCAGTGCAGCCTGGCCAAGCTTGGAAGAGCTTGTTGGTCTTCCTCCTTCTCAGAGAGCAGGCTCCCTGTACCACACCAAGATGTAGCATTTTATCAAGGGCAGTGTGCGCTGAGGAAAATAATAGCTGCTTCTTTAAAGTCAGCTCACATGAAGTTCTCTCTATGGCTTCTAACAAGGAGCAAAGCCTAGGAAAACCCAATCTAGCTCAAAATCAGTTTTCCAGCAATACCTAGATGGTACAGCAGATCCCCACAGCTGAATGTCTTCCCTTGCTGGCCCTCCTTATCTTCTTTGTCTCTTTTGGAAAATCCCACAGCAATGAAAAGGAAGAACTTTGTTTGGAAAGGTCCATGCCCATGCTTGACCAACTCTCTCGGTAAAAATGGTCATGCTTTGATTTAATTCTAATCCTGTTACTCATCTACCTTTTCACTTTTAAATGCAAAAAAAAAAATCCAAGTATCAGGTGAAATACTTTCATAGCTTGATGAAAGAGAAAAATATTTACTGAATTTTCATGCTTCCATAGAAGAACTTCTTGCAGTTCGGGTATTTTATAATTCAAATGCATTACTATCTGCAGTTTTAAGGCATTGCCTAGAGTATTTTTTTATTTGACATACATAGATATTTAAACTATAACAAGGTTGTGGTGAAAATAGAAATCTCCACCATGCCTATTGGAGCAGAATATTTATCAACCTGCCAGAAGTCTTGTACTCATAAAAACCAAAAAACACAAAGCACTGATCTTCAAACCCAGAAAAGAGAAACATATCCAACAAAAAAGAACATTCCAAAGTCATATCGGGAATTTTTAAATACAAAAGGAAAGTCCACAATATTTTCAAATCTACATTTAGGAACATGGTAACTTTTCTGACTGGAGAGTCAGGTCCATCTCAATAGTTATGAAATCCAATCAAGTAGCTATGTTTATAATTAAGGATATGAAAAACCCCACACCACTACCCCATTTTCAATTTTAAATCCATATGAAAACCAGAAGTCTATAGAATCTACATGGTTACCGTCTCATAGATTCTTGCTTACAAAAGCTGCAAGAAAATCCCCACCTAGGCAAAGACAGTTTATCAGTAAGACTTGTAACACATGGTGTTATAAATCAAAGTATTAAAGTATAAAATGCACTTGACATTTTATCATGCAGATAGCACTTATTTTAGGAATCACAAGTGCGTGGATATGTGATGCAAAATGACTGATTTTTAAAGCCTTTCAAAATGTGCAATGCTTTTTCTCTCCACAGACTGCCAGCATTGGGTTTCATTAAGAATGAAATATTATGATAAACACAAACATTTGCAAAGAGATTTTCTTCTGGGGGAAACTCTAACAGTCCATAAAGGGGTCTTTAATTTCCTGACAGTGTGAAAATGCCTCCTATGAGGTTGGTGAGGAAAAAGTCTGTGCCTCAAAGGGGGAATTTGCTGTCTTGGTAAATAACTCTGACACAAAGATGATCTGCTATAAATTCAGTTGCAGGAGCGTGAAAGTCTAGCTATCTTCATAAATAAGGAAATTATGTACTCATTTCTAGTACTTGCATATTCCCTGCAGCACAGCTCCATTGTTTTAAATGTTTCCATTGCATTTGTGCTCAAATTCTAAAATAGCAGTAAATGTAGCTGAAATAGTACTGCATATTCCTGCAAGAATAGGGCAGCTTTGTTACCAGGCTGCCACTAGAAACTGCGACAGACTTGGCTGTTTGATAAAAGCCCTAACTGAATGAGGCAATAGGTTAGGACATAAACCAGGGGCTGCAACGCAGTGCTGTCACCATCTGCTAGCAGTTAAGGAAATGGTGTTATGGAGTGCCACGTTATGCTGGTCTGGACAGTGTCTAAAAAGCAGTTGAGTGTTACATCATCCAACTTGGACACTTAAATATCGATCACTGCAAGTTAACTCTTCTGACATGAGAACAGATCTCTTTTGTTCAATTCAAAGGACAAGTGTGTTCCAGACTGCTTCCTCAGTGGTGTGTGTGTGTGTATATATATATGGATATTCAGTAATATATCTAGCAAAAAGAAGCCGTGCTTTTCTAAGAGGGAGAGGAGAGGCCCCACAACTGCTTACATCTGAATGCAATGGGGTGGTTCCTTGGAGTGCATTACAGTATGTTGGTTTGCCATCAGCTGCAAAAACTACACAAAAACTAGGAGTATCTGACATCCTTTTGCCCATTTTTGAAGCTCGACGAACCTGCGGGTTAGCATGGCTGAGAAAAGAGTGACAGTGGTACTGGTAAATCCAAGGAGTGGGGAAAAAAATTTTTAAAAAAGGACAATAGGGAGAAGATTGTTTTCTCTTTTCTCCACTTCAGAAGAGGAAAGGAAGTGAAACAAACTGACTGGAAATGGAGGGCTGAACTCTGCTACTGGGCATTGAGGGAGGAGAGGAAAAACAGGAAAGAAAAAAAGATAAAATTCTAGGTATTCTAATAAATAATCGGCTATTACAAAGTTCTGTAACAAAATACTCTACCAGGATTTTCCTAAAACTCAGATAAGGGCCTCCCCATACCTCAGAAATGGATAATAACAGTGTTTCAGAGTAAGCATTTAGGGAAGAAAAAAAAAAAAGAAGGAAAAATATATACAAAGTGCAGGATCACATTATGGAAATTTGAGAAATTGGTGTCATTTTTCAGCACAGTGCCTAGAATCCTTTGGTGCTTACTTGATTCTGTTTCAGTGTGGACACCAGTTTCTGCAAAGTGATATTTTCTTCTTCAAGCTCAGTGTAGTCCTGCAGGAGTCTTGCCTCTCGAAACTTGTACTCTCGAATTTCATCTTTCATTCGTATCCTCTGCAGTTCCACCATTTCGTTATTCTGAGGAGAGAAAAAGCAAGTATGTTAGCATTCACGCAGGGCCACTTTAACGATGAACGCTGCCTTTAGAAAAGGCCAAACACAAAATTAATCTTCAAATAGAAATGATTTAACAGTGCAAATAAAAACAGCATCACCTTTTAATCTGAGGCCAAGCAATAATTTCAGGTGTGTGCTGGCAACATAGAAATGAAAACATCTGATAGAGAACCTTAACTAAAACAGTTTCAAGATTAGATGCTTATTGAAATGCAAATCTGGCAGGGCTTTACCATCTCATTAGTTTTATTGCTCTATGATACAGTTGGATTTAAATAAAATTACCTCCTCTTTCTCAGCAAAGGATGCTTTCTACATCTGTACAGAAAAACAATGCGTAACAGCATCTGTTCTGTAAAGACATCTGTTACTGAACAAGGTGCACTTACATGTTTGTATCTGCAGGCATTAGGGAGGCACACAGGTAGGTGGGGGAGGACCTGCCAGGCAGACAGCTATAAAATCCTCGCCAAAAACCTGATAAATGCATTGCTGTGCTAGGCAGGATTACGCCCAGCAGTCTGAGAACACACAAGGTCACCGCTTAATTTTTCCCATTAGCAAATACAGTTCCCAGACAGCCTTACGAGAGAGGTCGCGAGGGATCAGTTTCACCAAAAATTGCTTCCATCTGATACCAGCTCTGAGTTTGACATCAAGGTCATTCTGGAAAGACTCTGCTGGCATAACCCCAATGTAAAAGGCACTATGGGAAGATGGAGTTGCCACACAGCTGGAAGAGAACAGTGACTGACACGGCTGGGAGGAGCAACCTCCTCCTCTACTTTGAAGAGAAGCCTGCATTTTCCTGATTAATAGGAATAGGCATAATTGGTCCCATCATCTCCTTGCCTGCAGGAGGAATCTGAGCATTGCTGTGGCAGCCAGTGGAGGGTGTCGCTACTGAGACCTTAATGACAGGGCAGAGCTCTCTCGCTGCTGGAGCATCAGAAAGAGCACACCTGGGAAACAGTAACACGTTCCAGTCAGGTTCCAGTGTGGAGGGAGGGCAACTACTGTCCTGATAGCTACCAGGAAAAGTCAAGTGTCTAAAAAATCATTACAACAGAAATCATACTCAGGTAGCTCCAAATAGAACAATCTGTACAACTCACTCTCTAGTGCATAAAGGATAAACCCACACATTCTAAATTTAGGATAAACAGAACTTTGCTTAGCACTTAGGTTAAATAAATAATTATAAATGCCTAGAAAATAACATTGCAATGCATGAAAAAGATAAACTGATGCAAGAATTACAAAAAAAGTCTTTTTGTTAAAGAAAAATAAAAACCATCACCTTTCCCCTCCTGGCATCTAATTAAGAAGATTTAAAGATCCTATGTGATTTCTTAACTGAAAGCATGCCTTTGGTTTAAAAAATCCCCAGTGGCAGAAGAGTGACAGAGCTCCAGATAAAAGTAACTCTCTGCAAACATTCCTTCATCTCTCACTGCCTAATAAACCTCTGAGTGAACTGTAAGAATGGCACCACAGATGGTTTCATGATGTGAAGGCATTTTATACCTCAGGGCTGCCTTTTTACATTTTGTTTCTGTCAGCACGTTCTCAGCTGTCGCAGTTGTTGATGCTTGCTCGGTGTGGGTATGCCTGAGAGTCTAAGGCGGTACGTGGACAACACCAAATGCACAACTCCGCTGTGCCAAGCATAATTAAGCTGCTCTGCAACTCTCCTGGTGTTTGGAGGCTCATCAGCCCAGGGAATGAATAGCAACCGGCTGACATCCATCCAATGCACACAGCCACGCTGCCGGTTGAAAGTAAGGCCTCTCCAAAAAGGGAGGAAGAAGGAAGGTGGCCAGAAATGGAGGACCTGAACAAAGAATTTTTACTGAATTCTTACATATTATTTCCCTGAAAGAGCACAAGTCATGCTACTTGGAAAAAAGCTTCTCATACTAACTCTGTAAGATCAGAGTACTCCTTTGTCTTTCTTGTTACTGCAAACAGAAAAAGAATACGTGATCTACCATCATGTTAAAGCGCAACACCATTTATTTAAGAAGACAGAAACCACATCCTTTAGCCACTAGTAACTTCTCCTGCATGATCTTGGAGGTTAGGTAATCTCCCAGCACAGGAAAGACACAGACCTGTTGGAGTGGGTCCAGAGGAGGGATGATGGAACATCTCTCCTATGAAGAAAGGCTGAGAGAGTTGGTGCTGTTCAGCCTGGAAAAGAGAAGGCTCCAGGGAGACCTTATTGTGACCTTTCAATTCTCAAAGGGGACTTATAAGAAAAATAGGGACAAACTTTTTAGTAGAGACTGTTGTGATAGGATAAAGGGTAATGGTTTTAAACTAAGAGGATAGATTCAGACTAGATATAAGGAAGAATTTTTTTAAAAGTGAGGGTAGTGAAACACCGGAACAGGTTGCCTGGAGATGTGGCAGAAGCCCCATCCCTAGAGACATTTAAAGTCAGGCTTCATGGGCCTCTGAGCAACCTGATCTAGTTATGGACGTTCCTGCTCACTGCAGGGGGGTTGGACCTAGATGGCCTTTAAAGGTTCCTTCCAATTCAAACCATTCTATGATTCCAGGTACAAATGGAAGCATATATGCAGAAACTATCTCTGCAGTGTAACCTCTACTCCTCTTTACTCGTGAAGGAAGAAACAGTATGAAAAGGGAAGATTCACCAGTCAGAGCACCCCACACGCCTGCCTGCTACGCTTCCCAACACCAGGGCCAAGGCCTCTGCAGGAGGTAATCCTGCAGCTCTGCCACAGCAGCAAAACAAACTCAGCGCATTAGAGAATATGGCATCATCTTTTCAAGGTAATGTAAAATGCATGTTTCGTCACTGCAAACACCCTGGCATTGTTCTCTGGGCTCCCAGATCCCTCATCTTATTTGTGAACACTGCAGGATGCTGACAAACATCCAGCTGCTAAGAGCTCTGGTGCTTTCACTGCTTCCTATGAAAGGTGATGCTGCCACATTATGGGGAAAAAGCCTGGTGCTGCTGAGGCTTACAAGTAAGTGGCCATGGGACCTGCTGGAGGGCTGTTCTGTTTTCCTACGCATTAGATCTTTATGCATTTTGTGGAAGTGATCTAGTCTTCATCCTATTAAAAAACCGCTCATGCTGAGTTTATTCTTTCTTACTGACAGTAAGCAGAATGTATTTGTTTCCATCAGATGCTCTGAATAAATACACTATACTCTCTTGTTATTTTGAACTATTTTCAATATGTATTGCTTAAGCAGACAATACATAGTTATCGAGAATTAGAGAACGGATCTTACTGTAGTGATACAGTGGCTGCAAGATGCAAACTTTTTATTTGGCCAGTGCATCAGTGCTCTTCTAAGGTGACTTGGATTTCATGTAATCATAGAACACTTTCAGCTGGAAGAGACCTTCAAGATCATTGAGTCCAACCTTTTCCTAGCCCTATCAACACCACTAAACCATGTCCCTCGATGCAACATCAACCTATCTCATAAACACCTCCAGGGATGGTGACTCAACCACCTCCCTGGGCAGCTTGTTCCAATAGTTGACAACCCTCTCAGCAAAGAGATTTTTCATAATATCTAACCTGAATCTTCCCTGGTGCAACTTAAGGCCACTTCCCCTTATCCTATCCCTCGCCACTGGGGACAACATACCAACCCTTGCATCACTACAACCTCCTTTAAAGTTCTTGTAGAGAGCAATAAGGTCTCCCCCCAATCTCCTCTTCTCCAGGCTAAACAGTCTCAGATCCCTCAGCTGTTCCTCATACAACATATGCTCCAAATCCTTTACCAGCTTGGTAGCCCGCCTCTGTATTCTCTCCATCACCTCAATGTCCCTCTTGCAGTGAGGGGGCCAAAACCGGACACAGCACTCGAGGTGCAGCCTCACCAA